AATTAAACACGTCGTATGTTTGTTGAATAAACGTTACGTTTCCTTTAGCTTTCGGGAACATATAAGCCAACGTCACTTAAAATAAGGTAAGATTAAACATGCCGTATGTTTGTTGACTAACCGCTACGTTTCATATAGCTTTGGGGAATATATAAGCCAACGTCGCTCAAAATGCGCGTATGGAAAAACTAAACACGTCGTATGTTTCTTGAATAAACGCTACATTTCCTTTACCTTTCGGGAACATATAAGCAAACGTCACTTACAAAACTCGTAAGGTAAGATTAAACACGCCGTATGTTTGTTGAATAAACGTTACGTTTCATGGAGTTTTTAGGAATATATAAGCCAACGTCACTTAAAATGCACGTAAAGAAAAACTAAACATGTCGTGTCGTATGTTTTATGGATAAACGGTACATTTCATATAGCTTTCAGTACGTGTAAGGTAAGATTAAACACGTCGTATGTTTGTTGAATAAACGTTACATTTCATATTGCTTTCGGGAACATATAAGCTAACGTCACTTAAAGAACTCGTAAGGTAAGATTAAAAACGTCGAATATTTGTTGAATAAACGCAACGTTTCATAGAGTTTTTGGGAATATATAAGCCAACGTCACTTAAAATGCGTGTATTGAAAGATTAAACACGCCGTATTGTTGTTGAATAAACGCTACCTTTCATATTGTTTTCGGGATCATATAAGCTAAATGGGGGAGGTTCTCCCTCCGTTCGCTTAAAGCGTGCGTAGAGAAAGATTAAATGCGTCGTATATTTGTTGAATAAACGCTACCTTTCATATTGTTTTCGTAAACATATAAGCTAAAGGGGGGAGGTTCTCCCTCCGTTCGCTTAAAGTGTGCGTAGAGAAAGATTAAACGCGTCGTATATTTGTTAAATAAACGCTACCTTTCATATAGTTTTTGTGAAAATATAAGCTAAAGGGAGGAGGTACCTCCCCGTTCACTTAGAATACCCGTAGGGAAAGATATAACACAGCGTATGTTTGTTGAAAAAAAAACGCTACATATCATCCATAGCTTTTGGAAACATATCACTTAAAATGCACGTTGGGAAAGATTAAACACGTCGTATTGTCGCTGTATTGTTATTGGATAAACGCTACATTTCATATTGTTTTCGGGAACATATAAGCTAAAGGGGGGAGGTTCTCCCTCCGTTCGCTTAAAGCGTGCGTAGAGAAAGATTAAACGCGTCGTATATTTGTTGAATAAATGCTACCTTTCATATAACTTTTGGGAAGATATAAGCTAAAGAGGGAAAGTCTGTCCACCGTACACTGAAAGTGTGCGGAGAGGAGGATTAAACACGTCATATGTTTGTTGGTAAGCCATGAAAACATAATTTTTTTTGTATTTGCGTGCACCGAGGTCTGCTACAATTCATGTCAGGCGTTGAAAGAAAACAGTTCTAGGCACAGGCTCTCGATAATTTACGCGGCGTCTTTTCCGTCTTGCTTTAAATTGTGCGTAGAAAAAAATTAAAAATATACCTGATTGATTTACTCATGTTTCAAATGTGACTTAAGTTTTGAAACAGAAATACCAAACATTTCCTGTACCTTTCTGGGACATACAAGTTTAACATGTTTGTCGTAACTGAATATTTCAGTATCTGTAAACCGTGCGTAAAGAAACATGCCGTAATACGTTACATTTACAACTGCGAAAATCCTTCGTAAAGATTAGATTTCTTTTTCAGTACACTTTAATCGATCTTAAAGTCTGCTTAAATATTTCCCTGTCTTTAAAGTCTCAATACGGATGTCGTAAATTTTGCTTAAATATCTGTTTTCGTGCTGTGCTATCTTCAAATTCTCAAGGTTTCCCCCACACACAGACAGACACACTCACAAATTGTTTGTAAGAGCTTCCCAAGGATAGATCTTGAAAGTAAAATAGGCAACAAAGTGAAAGAGGGATGTTATCAGAGATCCATTTTACTTTAATGTTCATAAATACCTACTCCCATTATGGATTCTATGGAATTTGCAAATTTGTTTCATATCTTACAGTGTATGAATATGCATTAAATCGTTACAGTTACTATGCAAGGATATGAAAGTCATCTCTAAAAATTGCTGTTGTTTACAGTCATAAATTATAATAGATGTACAATGTACATGCCCTTTGAATGTATATTTGCATAGGTAAGAATTTAACACTATGGAAGACTAAAACTATAGATAACCATTCCTATGTCTATCTAACTGTATCTTACAGTGTTGTCCTTGGACAATACAGTTGGAGTGGGCTTCCTCTAATAGTACTGAAGTAATTTGTTTTATGCTTCTGATTTTAGTGTTCTTGTGACACTGAACTGGGTGATAGGTTTTACTCAAATATCTCTATGGATTTGACTTAATTCCAAAAGCTACAATTCAATTAATATAAATAAAATATGCAAGTACTAGTATACTAAGTACTAGTATTATTTTACGAAGTTATACTTTATATAAACTTCATTGTGCAATGCAAGCAAAATACTGTCATTATATGATAATTATTAGTAGTTCCTCCTGAATGTCAACTAGCTTGTTTGGGTTATTTCCCTCAGTATAAAGCCTGTCGGGCATGCCTACAGATGTTATTTCATCAAGATATTTTCTGAAACCTAAATTTCTTTGAAACATTCCTTTCCAATTAGACAAGCATTTTGAAGGAATCATTTTCACACAAGTGCTTGATTACTTTCATCCTCCTTTTCTCTGACATCCGCTTTCTTTTCTTTCTGCTCCATGTGTTGATTGTGTTCAATGCTGTTTTGATGGCTAAGTGGTATTCCTTTATGACACTGCAGAAGGAGAAAAAAAACACAGTAGTAGGAACAACAAAATTGTGATAGCCCTGCATGTACTATGCTGTTAATCATGATCATATAAACATTTGTATGAAATGACATATTGTAACACAGAGCCCTTGTTATCAAGTATATGTCAAAGCTGCCTAGCATCTACCTCTACCCATAATATAACTTGGTATACTCTAGATAGGATATTTCACATGATAGACTTCAAAGGTCCATGATTGTTTATACCAAAAGCATTTTACAATACCTGATTATAATTTGGGAATCATCACTAAATATAGTTAACAGAAGTAAGTATTTACAACAATAAGACAGATGAAAGGTCAACATAGTCTACCTGTATGTGCCATACCTGGACCAAGGTAAAAGGGCCGAACAAATATTACCTGTACGGTGCCTTACCTGGTCCCAAGATAAAAGGCTGACACAGATATCACCTGCACGGTGCCTTACCTGGTTACCAGATAAAAGCCTGACACAGATATTACCTGTACGGTGCCTTACCTGGTCCCCAGATAAAAGGCTGACACAGATATCAACTGCACGGTGCCTTACCTGGTTACCAGAGTGAACGAATGACACAGATATTACCTGTACGGTGCCTTACCTGGTCCCAAGATAAAAGGCTGACACAGATATCACCTGCACGGAGCCTTATCTGGATACCAGATGAAAGGGCCACACAGATATTACCTGCACAGTGCCTTGCCTGGTCCACAGCTAAAAGGCTCCTGACCGAATTACAATAATTGAAAATCACCTGCACCAGACACATTTTACCTGTACCACTCAGAACATATGGATTACATTGAAAACTGGAAACTACTAGTATTGCCATCATTTCTTTTAAACTTAATACATGGTTTAACAGTCATGCAACAAATAAAAATCCAAATATGCCTACATCTTTATATAAAGCTACTAGTAGTAGTAGTACATGGACCAGGTAAGGCACCATGCAGGTAATACTAGTATGTTTTGTATTTGTGTAGCCCTTTCATCTGTGAACCAGGTAAGGTAATATCTGTGTGGCCCTTTTATCTGGTATCCAGGTACACGGTGCCAGGTAAGGCTCCGTACAGGCAATATCTGTGTGGCCCTTTCATCTGGTATCCAGGTACTAGTAAGGCACCATACAGTACCATATAGTGTGTCAGCCTTTCAGCTGTGGACCAGGCAAGGCACCGTGCAGGTTAAATATAATTGATACTAGTACTTGTATATTTTGTATTTGTGTAGCCCTTTCATCTGGGAACCAGGTAAGGTAAAATCTGTGTGGCCTTTTCATCTGGTATCCAGATAAGGCTCTGTACATGTAAATATCCGTGTCAGCCTTTTATCTGGGGACCAGGTATGGCACCATACAGGTAATATCTGTGTCAGTCTTTCATCTGGTATCCAGATAATTTGGAGCTGTGCGGTAATTCCAATTTTCAATGTTACCTGCAGAGAAGAGTGTCGGGCTCTGCTAGTACCTTGTGCAGATTTGCTCGAAATCAAGCCCTCCCTAGTTCCTTTTCGAGATTAGCTCAAACCCTCCCTTAGTTCCTAGTTCAGATTTTCGCAAAGCCTATACATATATATAGGCTTATTGAAACCTTTTTGCCCCCCTCCCCCATGCATAGGCCATGACATTTATTATTGTTTTTGACAGCCCAGTTTAGTTACTGTTTGAGCTGTTTCCGAATCCCATGTCAGCCCAAGTTGAAATCATAACCTGGAGCAACACTTACCTGTAAAATAGTTAACGTAAAATGTACATATGCGTGGCGTAGCGAAGTTTCCAGACGTACAGGACGGTCGGCTGTAGTATGCCGAGCCGTGACCTGGCCTGCGATGACCGCGATCCCGTGAGGCTTCGCGGCTCCTGTGGTCCAGATCTGCCAGGGATCTGCTTTAGTTTTCGATACGATTTTGTCGCTAAGCGCGTAGGCTGGCCTATTAGACTAAGGTGCTTAGTCGACAGACTCGCCTAAGCACGGGTCCTGCTTAGCGATTGTAATCGTCTAAGCGTGTCAGAACCGGGTGAAATAGTTGTATTTGTTCACATCATTTTGTCGTATCTCAGAGACATGTCGTCAACACCGGGCATCTCCGAGCAGCTGCCTCGGGGCAGGTCGCTTCACGACCCGACTAAAAATGCCTGGACCACCCGGTGTGACCACCTGCAGCCTCGAGGTGACTTAACCGGGCGGATCCAAACCAGACGTCCAAAGCCTAAACACAAGTTTGTGGACACAGTACCAGCAGAGTACATCGGTCAAGTACCGGTAACAATTTCAAGATTAAATTTCTCATTTTCTGTCTGTGTCGATAGTGACATTAACTTCCTCCAACAGTGGTATACAAGACGTAGTCTCCTTTGTCGTATTGTTTCGACAATCGGTGGTATATTTTTGCACAGCTCACGGTTTGAAACTCTTTGTGTCCATGAGATGTTCAAGACATTTCTCATTCTAGTGTATGATCCATTTAACCTTCTCTCCAGCGTTAATGTAAGTGTCCAACATTATGAACCATAGAGAAGGATTAATTCTATTGCGTCTCTAACAAAACTCATTTTTGTAGCTGGGCTTTTTAAAAATTAGTTTTCCACACTACTAACATCTTAAAGACATAAAGCCGTTGAATCTTTTCGAAATGGATAAATTGAAATTTTAATACGTAAACGTTTCAAGTACCATCCGGTACCCTTCTTTAGTACAATGTAGAGGAAATTTACGGAACAAGAAATAAGTTCTAAATAAACAAAAATAGTCAATGTTCTAAAGTAGGTTCTAAATAAACAAAAGGTAACTGACAAGGTAAATTGTTTATTTAGAACTTCTTTAGAACATTGACTGTTTTTGTTTATTTAGAACTTGTTTCTTGTTCCGCAAATTTCCTCTACATTTGTACTGAAGAAGGGTACCGGATGGTACTTGAAACGTTTACGTATTAAAATTTCAATTTATCCAGGTGGAAAAAATTCAACGGCTTTATCTCTTTATCTTTAACCTGGATGATTAACCTTCACCAACGTACTAACATCTTACTCATGGCTCCCCGGACAAGAAGAATTCTGACCTCAACATCTTTGCTTAAGCTTTTCATACCTAAATGTCATTATTTCCCTCCAGATCGGGAGCACGCGTGCTAGGTTATTCATGTGGCGAGACTTCAAAATACCGGACGACAGGCAGGAACCCAAATGCAAGGTACTAGTACGTACATGTAGGATGCAGTCTTGGAGGTAAAGAAAATACATCAAGTGCTTTAGATGTTTCTTTTGATGTTCCTGTACAAAACGTCTGTTCTGACCCTTAACATCTCTTGAAGGTTCCGCTAAAGGGACAGCCGGGTGTTGAAAGGTCCTGTATGAGGCGAGATTTCAAAGTACAGGACGACAGGCAGGAACTCGGACTTGCTATTCCAAACAGCGTTGCCGTTGAAGAGAAGGATACATTGTTTGTAGAAGATTTAGAGTCCCAGTCTGAAGAACTGGAACACAGCGGAAATGAGATAAAGGTACTACACATTTAAAGCTTTGGTATAAATACAGACTGTAAACTGATATGCTTGATCAACTTGTAAACGGTGTCCCCCACCTAGATGCTGTGCGGCGGGTTCTTTTAACATGGTCACGGTGCCGGTGTGGATTACCCGAAATACGGAACTACAGCTTGAAGTTTGCAATTTTTAAAGTGAGTGCAAGCTGTGTGAGAGGCCGGGATTCAAACTTAAGACCTTTTGACAAACATGCTATCTGGCTTATTATTATTACACGATGCTCTGACATCCCCGTATAACAAAACTTCTGTATTGATCCTTTGTTTCGCTTGCAGGTCCCACTCAAAAGGCAGCCGAGCTGTGAATCCCTGTTCGGCGGGAAGCAGGTGAAGCCCGGCGCCGTGTGGAGGCCGTACGGCCCGCCGCTGCACGGGTACGGCTCCTCCCTGAACCCGACACCCAAGAAGCGGCCGGACACGCTGCTCATCCTCGCCGCCATCTTCTACTGCCTGGCCGTCCTGACAGCGGTGGTGTTCGCTGTCCTCTTCCAGACCAACGTCATACCAGGTTAGCTTGTTTTTCGATCACCTGATTCCTTAGACTTCATTTTATCACTTTTGTGACATTTGTGGTGAAACTAGCTAGTGCCACAGTTTCCATTAAGTCTGCAGAAGTCTAATTTCTAATAGGAAGTTTTTTTTTTCCGATTGTTGACCAAAAGGGTTCTTTTGTCAGCGCACGTGGTATTTCACAGTTTCCCCATATATTTTAGTTAGCTTTCTAAAAAAAAACGAGCTGTGCGCACGCTTTTATGTGCTTCTGACCTTCCTCAATCTGATAATCATCTTTATCTACAGTATTCCAGTTTCGAAACTTTCAAATTTCTTGTTACTTTCCACTGGTTCAACAGCCTACAAGACTCCTGAGCCGGTGCCTGTGTGGATGCAGCAGTTTTCCCCGGAGATGCAGAGGTGGTACCAGTTGGCGCTCCAGGCAGCCGGAGGGGACACATCAGCGATACTGCCGCCTGGATACGTGCCGCAACCGACTGTGGAGACTCCTGTGCAGGAATGTGAGTCTTTGGTTCACAAAGTTCTTCGCATTGCCGCTAGGTGTCGCTGCTACAGCGTGAACGTGACTGAGTTTATATCTCTTCTCCCCTCATTTATCTCCTCTTTATTGTTTATTGCCAGTTTGCATTTAAAACACATCAGTATGTGATGAATTCATATGATCCAGCCTTACTGCTCTGTTTAGTCTTACTCAAACACATTCATATATGTATACATACATACATAAGGGACCAGCCTCTCAAACTCCGTCCTGCTACAAAATGTAACCCAACACCACGGGGTGTCTGCTACAGTTACCGTGGTGTCAGGGGTCTGGCACCAGGTGCCAGTTACCGTGGTGTCAGGGGTCTGGTGCAGGTCCAGGTCATTGACATTATTTGTTTGAAGAAGAAAAGGAAGAAGGATAAACAGAGCAAAAAATATGTTTTCCTATTAAACTTGCTAACTTTCAATTTATGAATGTTTTAGTTACATCTTTCCATGATCCAGTTTGCAGTGACACGCCTCTTCCTGACTTGCATGACGGCCGCTTCAACTGCACCAGCATCGCCTACTACAACATCTACGTGCGCATGTGCATCGCCAAGTGTGACGTGGGCTACCAGACTGATGACGCGGGCCTGCTGTTCTGCAACCGCGGCCGATGGGTGCCGATCGCGCCCGAAGTCGTGTCGACACTCGTCGGCGTCGGTCAGGCTGCCGACACGATGCCGAACACTGACCCTCGGGTGTTCGAGTACCTCGGCATCTCCGACCAAATCTTCGCGGACGTTACGTTTAACATTTTAATGAAGCTTGATGACGTCCCCAATCTTTCTATTGTGAAGACATATCTAAACATGATCCAAGAAGAAAACATCATCGACTTCAACATGATGCGGCAGTTGTTGATCTGGATTGGCCCAACTCTAGACGACAAAGTGGCCAACCTAGACTTCCTGCATGTTCTGTCTCGCCTAGGTAAGGGGAGTTCGGCGATACAAAACAGGCGTCTGAATATCAAAATAATGATGTCAAAATAATCCAAATATCAAAATGAAAGATGATCGTGAAGCATCTGCCTTTTTTGAAACCTCAAAAATCAAATTCATCACTAGCCTGTTACCATTATTTTACTATACAATATATACAATACATTTTGTACACAAAGGAATTATACAAAAACAAAAAGCCGTCTAATACAAATTCAACAACACAATTCTTTCTTTCTATTTTGTAGAGACGTTTGGGGCATCCAGGCGGCCGGTATGCAGAATCGTGGACTGTGGAGGAAACTTTGGGGTACTAATTTCTTACGTCTTATCTATGCAAAAAATAACAAACATACCAAATTAATGACAATAATAATGCGAGTGCGAGAATTAAGGTCTCATTCATGAGTTTTTTCCATACATTAGAAACCATGCATTAATGAGTGACTTACGAGACCGTGTTCCCTATGATCCTACATTAAATCAATTGATATCTTTCATGCTATGTTGAGCACACTTACTCTACGTCTCATAAAAAAATTGCCAACGACTTCTATACACACAATCCTGTTTTATGGGAATCACAAACTGCACTTAGCAGCTGTCCGCAAGAGGCCCTCCCGCGCTGCAAACCTACGACCGCACAACTCACAACAATGGACTGTGCACGTCCGACCTAGCGCGCGGCTGCCGACAATTACGTCCTAATTTCATCAGTTACAAACAAGCTTTCACCGCTTTGACGTTTTACATCAGTTGGGATGGCTAAAGGGAAAATTCTCACCAATAAAAACACGCGTTCAAACAGCCGTTTAGTTTTTGACTTGGTACTCTTTTAGGGGGTACACTCGGAGTAATACATGAATGAGACCATAAACCTTACTTTCAAGTTTCTACTGTATAGTCCAAATTACTAAGAACAGAAACTTCACTACTGATATAAAGTTACCATCAATGACCACTTACCTCGACCAGAATAGACCCACCAATTTTATATCAAAATTCTTACAAAAGGTGCTCACCGTCCTGGTATTGCATGACACAACTTCAAATTTGTTTGATGACTAAAACCTCCTTTTTTCAAAGAATCAAGGCCGAGTCAACAGCATCACAACCACCTACATGTCAGAATCCCGAGTGGTCTGTGAGCGAGGCTACCTGCCACAACACCCTGTACTGACGTGCACGGCTACAGGACACTGGGACAAACCCGCACATTGCGACCCAGGTAGGGTGTTGTCTTGGCGTTCATGTGCATAAAGTTAAGAAGGAGCCGGTATCTCAGGCATTTTCATACACTTTACTTTTTTTATAGGTCGGTCTTGACAAAGGGTAGTTATGGTTTCACCACACCATGAAAAATATTTACTTCTCTTGTGTTTCTTCTCCTCCTCCTTCTTCTCCTCCTGCCATTTCGTTAAATGGATTCAATTTCTTCATTTTGGGGCCAAATGAAATTTGGCATGAACGCATAGCGGCCAAATACCCCCAGAGATCTGTTCACTTGATGAAAACATGCTTTCGAAATTGCTTTGTTTGGGTTTTTGGCCATTTTCAGACAAAAATGTACATTTTGGGATCTGGAACCCTGGTATTAAATTTTAAAAAAATGAAATTCGGTATGGGGATACCTTGAAATATGTCCAAAGAATGTCACTTACGGATTTGACATTTAAAATTGTATAAAATAGGTTTTTTGGCTATTTTTGACCAAATGTAGGCTTTTCTAGTACCAAATGTCTAAAAAACAAGATCGTTTGCCTAAGTTAGGACAACATATTAGGTCAACACAAAAAGACACTTTAAGCACTGCATTCTGAGTACAAAGTTTGTTGCCGAGTTGTTATCTATATCATCACACAGTAACCTGCAGTCCACCTGAGGACCCCCCACACGGCTCGTACCTGTGCCAGGGTCACGTGTTCTCGGACCCCTGTGACGTCATCTGTGACGTAGGGTACCTACCGGAAACGGACCACGCCCTGGGCTGCAGCTGGACCGGAAACTGGACCACCGTCCAAAGAGGAAAGACGACAGAGATGGAGAATGCTGTGTCAGCAGGTGGGGAAAAGTTACACATTTATTGCGCATATTAGAATCGATATGATGACAAAAAGAACAAAACTTATCGTTGAATACAAATAAGCGAGGCATTTTGCATATAACGTGATATCTATATCAATCTATATCTATCTATCTATCTATCTATCTATCTATCTATCTATCTATCTATCTATCTATCTATTTATCTATCTATCTATATGAATCTATCTATCTATCTATATCTATCTATATCTATCTATCTATTTATCTATATGAATCTATCTATCTATCTATCTATCTATCTATCTCTATCTATGCATCTATCTATGTATCTATCTATCTATCTGTCTATCTATCTATCTATCTATCTATCTATCTATCTATATGAATCTATCTATCTATCTATATCTATCTATCTATCTATCTATCTATCTATCTATCTATCTATATCTATCTATCTATCTATCTATCTACCTATCTATCTATCTATCTATCTATCTATCTATATCTAGATAGATAGATAGATAGATAGATACATAAAATGCATTAAAATCGACATTCTATCTTCTATGCAGACGTTATCATCCCACAGACTCTGGCTTGTGTCATCGCTGACTGTGGAAACATTTCGGTGAGCGTTTTTGACATACATGTAACATGTACCTCGTGTACCATACCTGTCCTTCTGCATAAGGACTTATTCTTCAGCACAACCTGAAATGGACAGAGCATGTCACCTCGATCGTCGGGAAAGCTAGTAAGAGACTCTATATGCTGAGAATCCTGAAGAAACATGGTCTGGACACAAGTGATCTCATCCTCATCTACATCGGGTTTGTGCGGCCTGTGTTGGAGAACGCATGCGTGATATGGCACCCTGGACTGACCAGAGAACTGTCGCAGAAGATAGAACGAGTGCAGAAACGATCACTCAGAGTAATACTTGGGTCGGAATATGACTGTTATCACACGGCCCTGGACACTACTGGACTTAGTAGATTAGATACCAGACGTGATGAACTGTGCCTGAGGTTTGCTTGTTCTCTCACAAGCAGTGAGAAATACCGTAATTGGTTGCCAGCACAAAGGGGGGATGTACATAATAGAACACTAAGGAACAGCACGGAACTGACACAGTTTAAGTGCCGAACACAGCGCATGTTAAACAGTACACTACCCTATTGTGTCCGCCTGCTGAATGACAGTTAAAGTAGTAGAACTGTAAGTCGTGATGATATTGTTTTTTATGTAATTTTATAGTGATTTATGTCTTTGTTATTTCTGATTTGCAATGCATTATGCTGATAAGCACACGATTTTAGTGGAAAAAAACCGCAATTCAGCATTTTTGCTGCAAGGGTTTTTGTTGTTGAATAAACCATTCTCTCTCTCATAAGCCTCAACACCAAGCAGATGCAGGAAGGAAAAGTTGCACGCTTGGCAAGAGAGAATGACAATTGTTATTGGTGATTACAAATCAGTCTGGGCAGTTGATGTATTTATATTTCCCCAAAATCAAACAGTCTAAGGTCTTCCTCCGTGCACAGAAACCCGCACACGGTGACGTCACATGCACAGGTACGACGTACGGCGAGACGTGTCATCTCACCTGTCAGGACGGCTACGAACGGCTGGGACAAGACAACTTTACCTGCCAGGTTAACCGGCTCACAGCCCAGGCAATCTGGAGTGGGGAGCCAGAGTGCATCCCAGGTAATATATATATCATATCGTGATAGAGCTATGCTATACTTATATGGTACTTACTTGTAGTCCAACACAATGACATTGTTAGGAGACTATTTTTAAATGTAGAGCATTTGGGACGCTTTTAAAAAAATATTTAACAAGGTATATTTATGACAGAGAGTTGCGGATCCCCTCCTGAGTTCCCCAACACCGCTCTACGGTGCGCCAAGGGACACACCTACGGGGACACCTGCGGTGTCACCTGTGCGGACGGGTACGAAGGAACAAACCACCAGCGCGTAACGTGTCATAGCAGCGGCAACTGGAGCCTGCAGGAGGGAGGTACGGATTTATGTTGCTTTTTCAGCGACCATTCTCATGCAATCAGGGCACACACTCAGGACTGTAGTAGAACTGACCATTTTCTAACTAAGTTCTTTTTTAACTGCAGCGCTTCAGCCATTTGTGGCTGGACCAGATCTGTTCTGTCAGAAGAAAGGTTGCGGCAATCTTACTGTACGTACGGTTTTGTAAAATAAAATCTGTGACACAAACAGCTAAATGCTATAATAAAATGCTATAATATTAACTGTAATTATCCAGACTATTGTCTTCTCCTTTAATACCATAAGCATCCTCAAATGTGATAACATTTTGCATTACATGTTTTTTACCACCCAGAGCCCTGTCAACGGCAGCCTGACGTGCAGCGGTACCAGGTACCAGGACTCCTGCCGCCTGACCTGTCAGCCCGGGTACAAAGTTGGCTACGAGAGCGGCCATATTCTTCATAGTTTGTACAACTTTAGGTGTCTGGCTAGTGGCGAATGGAACAATAAGCCAAGGTTAGGCCATTTTTCATTTTTCTACTTTTCTTTGCATGTCATGTTACCAAAATGAGCCCTTCTGCAATTTAAAAAGATGTTTCAAATTGGTGCATGGTCCAACTATATTCACAACGTTAACGTTGTGTTTTCGAGACGTATGGATTCGGTTGGTCGTGACGAAATGACTTGTGAGATTTACAATATCAGGGAACACGACATGTGACGATGAACTTTCAGTCGATTCTACAACGAACACTTGTCAATGTATTGAATGAAAATAATGTCATTGTCGTTTCTGAACCCTTGTGTAGATGCGTCCCTTTTAACTACTGCCGGCTCGGCCTGCACGACTGCCACCCTGAGCACGGGATCTGCGACCTGACGGGCCACCAGACCTTCAGCTGCCGCTGCCGGCCCGGGACAGTCGGGGACGGGAGACGCTGTGAACGGATCTCCTGCCCGCCTTTCCCGGTCAGTAGGAAATTAGCTGTTACTAGCCACTGTCCTTCTCCATCCCACAAAATGACAAAACGTCAAACGTAGAGGTTTTCCAGAGCAACATTTAGGGATTTCAGAAGGTTCTATTTACAAATGAACAGAAGAGTCATTCGAAAAGAACTGAACTGGGCTTAATCCGTGATCAAGGCAGAAAAACTACCAAGCATGAAATAGAAATAATACGATTTATGCACGGATTGCGGTGCTTGGTTGAGTTTTCATCCATAAGAAGATAAAAGCGTTTCTTGATAAAAAAGATAATCAGTTTGCTGAGGACTAGTATAAGGTATGATCTACTGTCGTAGTTTTGATAAGAAACATTTCGCGTGGTTATAACCTAGAATCAACGAATTAATTTACTGTTTCCTTTACCCTCCCAGATCTCTGACCCTGCGAACGGCTTCTTCAGGTGTTCTATCCCGGGATCCTCTAATGCCGACACGGCAGAGTATGCTAACAGCACCTCCGCGGAGTACGAGGCCGTCTGCCTGCTTCACTGTAACCCTGGTTACGACAGGGTGATCTATGCCGAGTACTCTTGTGGACACGACGGGAGCTGGACCATTCCTGTTGACATAAACAGCGCAGGGACCACGCCGTGTTTAGGTACAGCTGAACGTTTCATCTCTACTGTTTCTAAAACTTAGGTGTTGTTTGTCGGTATCAGTAGTAACCATGGTACAAAAACACACAAAAAAAGACAGTCGCGAGACGGGAGTAGATTGATTGATTATAAGGAAAATAAAAGTTCAGTAACCAATTTTCAACGTTATATTTTCAGCATCTTTAATGATATTGATGGCTCATGTTGCTTTTATTATTTAGATTATAATTTAGTATATTATATTATTAATTATAATTATTCTGCCATTCGCCACTTTGATATAGTTATGCCTTAAAGCATTAATGTTATAACACTTGTTTCAGCTGTGAAATGCCCGGACCTGGCCAGTCCCCTGAACGGTAGAATGACCTGCAACAGGGGCTCAGAATTCCGCCATCCCGAGGCCTGCAACTTCGCCTGCAACCGAGGTTACGAGCTGACCCTATCAAGCAGCAGCGTGAGACGCTGTCAGACTGATGCAACCTGGTCTGGAAACGACGCCTTGTGTATCGGTAGATACGGCATTGTTACTCCGTGAAGGAGGTCAGGACCTCCGGATGGAGTGTTGTGATCGGCTGATTTTTCATGTTCGCAGTCAAAACACTGGGTTCTCTTTGTGTAATCGGCACGCAATTTTATACGCCGTCTGCGGGCATGCCCGTGTTGATGCACGAATGTGTATTTTTGCCGTTGCTGCTTTCGCGGTCAATGTAATATTGCAGACGCACCCCTACAATTACGAGGCGAATTGGAATGGTCCAGAAAAACGCGTTGTTTGGAATAGCAGTGGGGGGTGGAACTTCATGCAGATACGGGGTGGTTTTGATAAGTGGTTCCAGATGTTTTTGCCCATGGTTAAGAGATGCCAAGTTTTTTGGAAGATGTTCGCAGCCAAAACGCATTCTTCCGTACGTCGCATTTTTGTGTAATTTCGCATGTGGTGTGGCATTATGTCCGGGATGATGCACGTCTTTTTATTTTTACCGTAGCTGTTTTGATATTGGAGTAAATGGTTATTTTTTAAACATCCCCATGTCGTTGAAATGTTGTCGTCCGTTTATGTCACCGGTAGTAAGTCGCGGCGGGGCTGATGGGGACGGAAATGTGGGGTGGTCAGAGGTCAACATTAGGAAATGTAAATACCGATGACGTAATCCTATCGATTTCAAACTGGTCGGGTGTGGCGACCTAGTGGCGGCGTGTATTTAGTCACGTAGCAACTGGCCGGTCGTCCTAGCAACGAGCATGCTGGCCGCTTGACTGTACACATGGGCAATATTTTTGGGTTGGGCCGCTCCATAGTGTTAGTGGAGCAGCTCTTTGGAAAAATGGACAATATTTTTGAGCAACCCATCAATGTGTTCTGCCTCGTGGTCGGATGTGGTCTGGGGCTGGTAAACCACACATACTAGTAGATCGGATAATTTAATGATTTGCTAGTTGTAAAGGCGTCTTGTAGTATGAGCCGGTATATGAAGAAGTAGCGTGTGTTACACAATCATGCTTTCGGCCGGATTGATGTGCAACTGTTACTAATTGCAGGGACTGCGCTAATGCCGACCAGTCGCGCTGTCCTGATACACCGCGAATGTGCGAGTGTTCCCTGTAGACAGTCCCGGGAGTCATTTCTTTCGCACATTCCAGGAGCCAAACCAAAATACGTAACTTCATGAACCGAGTCCAAAAAACCGAAACGTGAAAATCGGATGATCGGACCTGATGTACATTTCTCTTTCTGTAGATTGTACACACAATACACACATCTTTAGATAATCTGGCCATGGCAGGTAAAAAAAAAGGTTACTATCCACACTGCACAATCATTGGATCATCCTGCATGAGTTATGGGGCAGTGCCGAAGTCGCGCGGTGTGAACCGAGTCCCCGCAGGTGAGCAGTTTCACTGGATCTGGGTGGGTGGGTGGGTCAGAAAAAATGAAGGGAAATGCCTTTCCTCTTAAAGCTTCCCCCATCCACCCTCCTGCCATAACTGCTGGGTCGGTCTCACCTTGCTTCTTCGGGGTTGCGGATGTCTCCGAATGAAAGGGCAGAATGGAGTGCGCGCGCGCCTTATAAGGGGTTGGTTGGTGACGTCATTTCGGATGACCAATCACAGTGCAGTGAAGATAGGTTACTATCCACACTGCACAATCATTGGATCATCCTGCATGAGTTATGGGGCAGTGCCTACGTCGCGCCATCATTTGCGTTTGTCCCCGTAGTTAACGTAGGGAGTTCCCCTTTACGCTAACACCTGGAGGCGCGCCCTTCTTCCTAACTAAACCAAGCTTTCGCTAGAAAGCCTACCCCTTACTTCATCCCAATACTTCNCTGCTGATTGGAGTGCAAGACCGGACTGGCGTTGAGCCCATGGAAATTATGCCATGTTTGCTATAGGGTGTATTTCATCACTCGACCACGACTTGGGGAAGTCTGACACAGGGACGCATAAATTCTGTGAACAAATGTTTATATGGTTGTTGACCTCTGTTTCGGGACATATGTTCCCAATGGGGGCATAACGTCCTGTCCTAAGGACTGCGACTCTTTCCAGTAGCATGCACGACAATTTAACCACCAACATGAAAATGATACACCAACCCGAAAGGATACACCAGAAGGTTACTATCCACACTGCACAGTCATTGGATCATCCTGCATGAGTTATGGGGCAGTGCCGAAGTCGCGCGGTGTGAACCGAGTCCCCGCAGATGAGCAGTTTCACTGGATCTGGGTGGGTGGGTGGGTCAGAAAAAATGACGGGAAATGCCTTTCCTCTTAAAGCTTCACCCTCCTGCCATAACTGCTGGGTCGGTCTCACCTTGCTTCTTCGGGGTTGCGGATGTCTCCGAATGAAAGGGCAGAATGGAGTGCGCGCGCGCCTTATAAGGGGTTGGTTGGTGACGTCATTTCGGATGACCAATCACAGTGCAGTGAAGATAGGTTACTATCCACACTGCACAATCATTGGATCATCCTGCATGAGTTATGGGGCAGTGCCTACGTCGCGCCATCATTTGCGTTTGTCCCCGTAGTTAGCGTAGGGAGTTCCCCTTTACGCTAACTCCTGGAGGCGCGCCCTTCTTCGTAACTAAGATCCCGTTCATACCAGACTTTTAAAAACCGGTTGAAACCGCTAAATAGGAAAACCCGGCTAAAACCCTTAGCGTTCATACCAGACTTTTCATAACCGGTTTTGTAAAAATCCTGTCCGGTGAATATCCAATTAATCGGGCATGACGCAGTTTGAATAACCGTTCCTCCCGCTCTTCCGATTGCTGTCGCCTTCTTGTATTCCGTCTTCATGTTCATTACCTTTTACTGCGGCACTGATCTTTAAATAAACCAGGTTCCTCCAACATGTTTGTTTCGGTAGAGCACCCCCCACCCCCCAGCTTTGTCAAATTCGGCGAGTCCAGCTCTCCACAAATACATAAATAAGTATCAGGAGCGTCTCGTCTGTCGACCAGGTTGCGTATGCTGATTCCTTCGATCTCAAAATTAACAGAAACCGTGGGAAAACAGTGGAAACGAACTCAAATTGGTCAAAACAACGCCATAAAAAAGCTTTAGGTCGTCCACGGCCAGGATGCTGACCTCGTGACCCCGGAATTATGACGCAAAAACCGGTTCAATAAACCCTTAGCGTTCAGACCAGGTTTTTCGGTGGAAAAACCCCTCAAAAACCCTTCAAAAACCACCTCCCGAGGTGGTTTTTCAAAATCGGATTTAAACCCCTAAAAAACCGGTTAATTTGCGTTCACACCAGGTTAAATAAAAACCGGTTTTTGAAAAACCGGTTGAAACCGCTAAATATAAGTCTGGTATGAACAGGGTCTAAACCAAGCTTTCGCTAGAAAGCCTACCCCTTACTTCATCCCAATACTTTCAACTGAAAGTATACCCCACTCTCAATATCCCCAAAACTTCGTTCGAAGATATATCCCCTCTCTCATCTCCCCCCACTCCTATTCCCCGTTTTTCCGGCTCTTGCATGTGTGACTGTTTACCGTTAATACTATCGAGCCCATAGTGGAAAAAAGAGACAGAGGCAGAACTGTATCAAACAAGAGGACGTTTATTAGGTCACCCGTTCCTTCTCAATTCCTTGCTCGATCTCGAGACCCCGCTATGATATAACATACAGGAAAGAAACCATCGTCCTTCGTCGAGCTCGCTTGTCCCTTTGCCTACCATAGCCGACGTCTTCTTTAGGCGGGGGTTAATCTAAAAGGTTTTGTTTATTCCTAGTAGCACGTTATTTCTTTCCTACATTTTTACGGCTTGCTTTACCTCTTCCGCCGCTAGTCTCGATGTTGCCTCCCCAAGCTTCATTACCCTACCCAATTTCATGTAGTGGGCTGCCATCCGTTTTGCGCATCACCCCACATGATCCATCACTTCTTACTCAGATGCTCCCGCCATGTGGAGAGCGATCGCGCAACCTGCCCTACAGCCATGACATGTTTCTCCTTAATCGACGCCTTGCTTCTACAGATGTCTACGGGACGAGTCATTTATTGTTGCCGTGGAGGCTAGGGTTGCTCCGGTAACACCGAGCCGTCGCCAACGGTGGCTCAAAAGAGATAGCCACCCTCCAACTCTATGGATAGGTGTTTGGCGATTGCCATTGACCAGCCGATTGCCTCTCTTGGGCCCACGGAGCTGCCACCTGTCTTCTCTAAAACGAAAACATTGGGCCTGCCATCTCGCAAGGTTTTCCCCCACACATGGTTGATTACCAATGCGCCTGACGGTAATCTTGACACCTCTGCTGTTCTGGTCTCCAAGAGGTCAGCCAAGCGGTCACCCGAGAAAAACGCCACCTTGAAGATGGATTGATCCCTGCCATTGTGAACAGCGGATTTTCCGGAAGTTCTTTTCTCTGGGATGGCTTCGCAAACCTGTACTACTTTGCCAAGGAATACCGGCTTGGCCTGTTGCGGAGTCGAGCGCTGTCTCAACTGCTCCGCTGACACTGACGCCGGGTATTGCTTGACCATTTTCCCCCTTGCCGGGTTCCCATCTTCCAATCGTTTGTCCCATTCGCTCCCCCTACCCATGGCCATGCCGTTGAGAATTGGTAAGCTTGCCCACATATGTGTTAACCGTTTTAAACGCTAGCCCACACGGGCATTTATACTCCTCCTTGCCGGCCCTACAACCGCCTCTTGGACTTTCGTCTTCCCTTTCTGGTCTTTCCAGATAAAGAACATGACAATGTCTACCGGAGCTACCGTGTCTAAGGTCTTAAGTGGGGTTAGGGTTCTAAGGAAGTTCTTTAACAAGTCGCTTAAAGCCGACTTTTGCTTGATATAGGCGGAGTATTTTTGTTCTCCCAGGAGTTACTACAACCTGCTATCGATAGCGGCGTGATCCCTCTGCGCCCCTAAGCATTAACGCCGGTGCCTCCTGAACTTTTGTCATTCCACCTCGCTGGCAGAAATTGAAACCGAACCCATTAGGGTAGCCGCACCCTACCCGTTTTACTACCGGGAGCCATAACCTTGGGACCCCGCTGAACCCCGAGCAACCTGGGGTGCTAGTGAATTCCCCGCCTTGACTATTGTAGGGAAAAATTGTCGACTGAACTGCCCTTGTTTGGGAGTTGAGCTTATTTCTATCGGCGGTTCTCTTGGGGTTTCTGCCACGGTCCGAAACCCAGATGAACAGGCCTGTTAACATACGCATTCCCCTGCCTCATTCGCTTGCTGGTCTCGTTAGTTGCCAGAGTTATCCCTTACATTTCTATCTTATCGCAAGGAGACTCGGAACTAGTTCACGCTCCGTTGGCCGTACCTGCCAACCACCACTTCTCCTCGGTGAGTATAGCACTGGTTAACCCGCACATGCTACCCGCACCCTTTCCACAATTGGCAACCAGTAGCACTTGGGGAACCTGTCCGGTACCACCAACACCATCCTCGCCTTCTGTTGCATCACAAAATTTACTAGGGCTGTTATAAGGCTGAAGGGAGGGAATGCGCAACAGTCTCGACCCATCAGGTCCTGTGCAAATACATTGACCTCTTCAAAATACGGAGTTGGGTATGGACTGAGGAAACGTAGATTTTGCCCGTCCCTTGCTGACTGCACGCTGGATGGTGACACCATGAGGTCCGTGTCAAACCCGGAGACCCCTCCTAACTCCGCATCGATCCATTGGAAGACCTTTCTATGCAACATCACATCTGACGCCTTGGTAAGGCGGGACGCGGGGCATCCGCTTCGTTGACTCTCGACGGCGTGAAGACTGGCTTAACTCAACATTTAGACTGACCACCGTCTCCCATAGTCTGCGCACCGCCCTTGATAGTTGGAGGCTTTTCCCCCCTTGGTTGTCCCCGGCGGAGATTACATTCGTGTTGTCCACATGGGCGTCTACTGCCAACCTGGCAGCATTTTCCAGCATTCCGTAGGCGCCTACCCTCTTACTGTGCACGCGCACCCGCTCTTCTATGGACATAAGCACCTGCATGAGAGCTTCAGCTTCTTTGACCTTTCTGTTCTTGCCCTGTCCCGTAATCTCCGAACTACACCCTGTCTTAGTTCGTTGCGGCCGAACCGCGCCATTTAACCCCTGATACGTCCGAATGTGACCCTCTCGACTCATGCTTTTCCGTCCTCTAAGGGACGTGCCCTTCCCACTGGTCTACGAATCTCCAGTGTTGTATTTCTTCTCTTACGCTACCCGCAATCCGGACCCCTGTGCCTTTTTGCTTGCCAATCTGATAGCTTGAAACATCTCCCTACAATGTAGTCTCGCCGCCGGCACGGCTAGACCAAAGGAGACCAGATTCCCTGTCAATTTTTGCCACTTCACAACGGGCATACTTTGCTCATTCAACCCACCCTCTCTCAGGGCGGCGAACAAAATCTTCTTCCTTCTGGTAGCCTGAAGGTCGAGCGGACTGAGTCTGCCTCCATAACCAGAAACTCCAGTCACTGCGCAGGGTACAGCTGCGATTTAGATATTCCTAAAAAAAAATATCCCAATGCAACCACGACGCTACACATACTGTCTGTAGCTGTGCGGCGTCATAGCCTGCCTCCTCTCCTTACTTCCTCTGCCTTTGTCCTGCGGTTTGCAATTGTCCTGTTACCTGTGTCGGTTCTCATGCCTCAGGTTAATAGGTGCATGCACAGCAAATCGGCATGGCTACACAAATTTTCTTCCTTGACTTCACGTTTACCAGCCCCGAAACCTCCGGGCTACTATATTGCTCGCCCTTATGAGTTGCTTATGCCGCGCCCCCTGCCGACTTTGGCGTATGGGCACTATGCGATCTCCTTATGCTGCGCCCCCTGGCGAAGTTGCTGTGCAGCCCCATGCGATGCTTGTACTACACCCCCTAGCGACTTTGCTGTGTAGCACTCTGAGCCGTTTGTGCTACGCCTCAGCTGACTTGCTGTATGGGGCTGTGATGGTCTCATTATCTAACTCAACGCCGTTCGACCCTCAGCCGGGAGAGAGGGTCAGAAAAATTGTCTTAGCACCAAGTACTCATCTATTCAACGCCATTCTAACATGATTACCACTATAGGCAGTTCAAGTGCTATGCGTTTTCATCAGTAAGATATCCAACACTATTTAGATTGCGATGAACACATTTCAAGACAAGAAAGAGTTCTGCATCACCACTTTATTCAGAAGAGACATTCCCACCGGCGAGCCTCACCGGCGAGCCTACATAGCTTTTCTGCATCATAGACAGCCATAATCAAGCCGCTTGTCATTCCTTTGTTGTATACAAAGTATTTCCAAATATAAATTCTGACCAATTTAATCCGATGCGCTAGGCTTGCCTTCCTTACAATCTCTGCCAACGTGGCCTACTTTATGGCACCTAAAGCATTCATCACCCGGCCTCGAGTTGGCCTGTCGTCCTTGCCTTTAAAGCTATTACCATACGTGTTGGCTCTAGAGGCTTTACTCTTAGTTGCGCCAGCCTTGGGCATCTTGCTCTGTGACTCTTTACAAACTGAGCTATAACCTTAGCCAGCCGTTTGACTAGGCCGCTCCCGAGATGGCTCTCTCTGCTTGCCTGGGCTACCAGCGCCTCCCCGAGGGCCAGGGCCCTGTGGGTCGAAGGCCTCCACTGGTCGACCTGCGTATCGCACCAGATCCTCCCTGATATCCGTGGTACGCCCCTGCTTCATGGCGCCTAACTGCTTCTTCAGCTCTTGGACCACATGTAAGGGTGTTGCCATAACCTGCATAAACGACACCACAAGTCCGATTAACGTGTGTCATACACATGCAAATTGCAACCTCAAACGCTCCCGCTCACACACTGTACATGTAAGCAACTTCCCATGAAGCGTTTCCGAGCCAATGTACTTTTATACCGACCGCTCCGTACGCCCCAGGCGTACAGCGATCCGTACATCTCGGCTCCGCGTGCCCTTCACGCTCACCACGCGATACCCCAGCGTTCACCTATTGAACGCCTTACCGCTTTGTAACACATTACAGGGCGCCTCGCCCTACACGTGAGCTACCCGATGGATAAAACCATCCGCACACCCGGTGTACTCGTAGCTCACCACGGGAGTAATTAGGTATCCACGCTAGGAAACCACACCCGCGCCTCCAGGTGGGAATGTGCGCCCTGCGCAATCAAGTCTGCACGTGCGCCATTCCCCCTGCATTACACAATTTGCATACAAATCCGACCGAGGTTCTACATACTGACTAAGACGATGTACGAAATCAAAACAATGCTACCAAGACGAGCAACGTACCTTTACGAAACTCACACACGAGATAACACAGTCAAATACATGGTAGCAACCAAAAGCCATCATTCAAATTCCGAAAATGCAGAAAATTCAACTGCAAGGACTGTACCCTTACCGCCCGCGCCGCCTGGGGCTGCTCTAGCGCCGGCCCCGGCTGCGGGTCCGCTGGAGCTTGTGCCCCGCTTGCTCCTGCCGAGCGGCCCGCTGTCCCTGTGGCGTTGCCTGTTGTCCCTGCGGCGCCTCCTGTTGTCCCTGCGGTGCATCCTGTTGTCCCTGCGGCGCATCCTGTTGTCCCTGCGGCGCATCTTGTTGTCCCTGCGGTGCATCCTGTTGTCCCTGTGGTGCGACGTTGTTCTGCGGGTCTGGTGGCTGGATGTGTTCCACTCCTCCCTGCTCGGGTTGGCGTTGTTGTCCCCCTTCTCGGCGTGGAGGTTCCCGAAGCGCTTGGTTCCTGAGACATGTTATCCACCCCGTTCGATCGCCTTCCACGATAACTATCGTGGAAAGGGGACCACCTTCCATCGATACATATCGGGGCGGCCGACTCGGCCGGTCCTACAGCCGACACCTTCCACGATAGCACAGCGATTCTCATGGATGGTGACATACGCTGGGTCATCAGGCGGGGTCACCGCCCCAGGGTATGCTGGGAAGCCCAAAACCAACGCCGCGCTCGGCTTCGGTCTCAAATCACCACCACAGGTACGTGTGTTTGACTTGAAGTTTGATGGTTTATGTTTACTCTTAATGGCATTTCTATTTGGTATTTCAGTGTGATTGTATGCTACCCATTTTTGAATGCGAAAGTTGAGGTTAAGGTTCGCCTGGAATTTTACCAAAAGTTTCCAGGAAATATCGAGGCATGGGGGAGGGGGGTGGTGAGGACGACCTAAAAGTTTCTACAAACTTTCTCGATCACTTTGAGTGCCTCTGTTCTTGAATACTAGTATATAAGGTCCTAGGGTCAGATTTCCTGCATGGTCGGACCCATTCTGTGGTTTTGGGAGAGACTTGCGTAATTATGCGAGAAGAGACGGCCATCTTTCAGCCGGGCAGCTCACCTAGCTATAGGAAACCAGCTATAGTATGGTCGTTATAACGTTATATATTCTCGGTAAAATAAATTAGCATTTGGCTACAGAAGAAAACTAATACATCTGATTAAACAGTATGAAAATATTCTATCCTCCTGTCAATGGCACTTTAATAGGCGCATCACGGTGCTCCAGGAGCGGCCGGGACCGCATCTTTATATAATTCGGGTGGTGGGTGGTGCGTGTGCGACAAAAGGGGGTGGGGTGGGGGGCTTATTTTATAAATTTTTAATAGAAAAAGTCAAAACAACTTGCAACAATGTTGACAAGTGAAGGTGTTTGTTAGGGAATAATGCTCTTGCTCATTATACAGAAGAAACCTGTCCTTGCCTTGCTTGAGTAATAATTCTAATGAGAACAATTGTAAAATACAACCTAAGCTATATGCGTTTCATTTTTTCTAAATCAGCATCTACTATATAGTACCAAGAAGATGGAGTATACATGAATTGTGCAGAAGAGGGCACATTTGCAAATCTATTGAGGCATACTTTCTATCGTCTGGAACTGAGTAAGAAAATAAATGTTGCTATTTTGCCTTATTTCAGAATGAAACATGGGAAAAGCCAGAGGCAAAAGCAAGCACTTTCGGTGTGAAAGGCAGAAAGTGACGGCAAGGACT